CGCACCTTTTTTAAGGAGGTGGGAAAAATCCGAGGACCAAGTAGTCTGGAACCCAGCATAAGTGTACATCTGATAGAAAATTTACCGTCCCATAAGACCATAGGAGAGGAGTTATGAATGACAATGAAGTGATGAAAATGACACTGCAAGTCACATGACAACATAACAGATGTTGCTCTTCATCAAATGCAGTAAATCAGAAATTATGCAATTTTGTGCCATGTATGCTATATTTTGTGCTGATTTTTTCTATGGTGAATGCAATTTTTCTGCTATTCAAGTATGAAATGGGGAGATTTGTATCAGTCTCACAAGAGTCACACTCGATGATGTTGTTTCAAATATTATTTGTCCATCTGCAAAAGTCCAAAAGTTATCAGAGCCATACAGATGAACAGCAGAATCACAAGTGTGATAAATTATACAACAGTTCAATAAACAATAGATTCATACGGAGTAACTTACAATTTTGACACGATATCACGGGTTACTTTGTCTATTTTTGCTCCGCCAAAAGAAATAATTCCAAAGAAAGACGCAGCAGGAGCAACATGTAGTGGCATTTTATTACTGAATGAATCAGTATATTTGAACAAATCAAATGAGTGAACAATTCAATGTCACATGATTCAATGACTGAACGCTCAAATATAGACAAAGCTGAGTGATATGAAAAGTTCCTCCACAGCATTTCACATTTCAGGACCCTAACTAATAATTGTTCGAAATTATTTCAACTACTTACAATTTGCCTGCTTCATATAACACTACTACTTAAAAGAGAAAATTTAATTGTCTGATAAATTATCATTTACAGTCATTGTTAAAGGTCAGGCAACTAAACAAAAGGAGAAAAACAATCTGAAAAAATTTATTTTATTCCTGACATTATCAGAGCTGTTACCATGTTTCCTTAGATATCTCCTATTCAATACATTTGTCCAGTTTTAATAGAGTTCAGCATAGAGGTAGTCAGGATGAGACCAACAAACCTTCATTTCTGTCAAAACGTTATAAAACACAGCCTCTTTCTCATTCCACTAAGGAGTTTTTAAATAACAGTTTATCCTAGAAAAGTCCAACCTCAAGAGAAGGACGATGTTCCCTGACATTTAATTAATAGACAGCGTCACTAATTAACAAGACCGTATTCACCGCCATCTTGTACTTAAAGTGTACACGATCAGCTTGCTACTCTAGCATTCATACCCAGCATTACAAACTCTGGAAGGTGAAGCACTCATTGTCACAAATTAACGAGCACTGGTAGATACTGTAGGTCACCTTAGTATTGAGGCAGAAGACAAGGGAGAAAAACAAGCAGAGGGTGGTGATGTCACCCTTACCTGGAACAATGGATGCCGCTATTGTTCCCCAGACCACTCACTGGTCTGAAGGACACCGCTTCAAAATGGGACACTTTTTAGAGTCTTCCATGGCTGCAAGCTCTTGCTTTAGTCTGTCCAGACTGTGACACCTCTTTTGAAGATAAAACAACTGGCACAAAAGAAGCCTGTCACTTATTTTCCCCTCCATTTTTGTTGCATCTAAAATATGCCAGAAGAATCAGCAGAAGAAAAAAAGAAATCAATAATCCCTAGGTCCTTTATCCACCCTTCAAAAAGAAAGGTGTATACTTTTTTTTATCATTGATTCCACTCAAAGACTTTGACCTATACAACAAACAGACATCCTGTGAAACTGAGAAAAACTTATGAGTGGGTAATAAACAATAAAAAAAATCATTTTCCATAAGTCTCCTTTAAAAGACAATTGGCCTTCCCTACACACATTTCTAAGTGTTGCAATTTTTAGACAGCAGTATAAGGCGACAGTAAATATGTAAGTACCAAGTCTAAAAAGGGACATTTAATTAAGATTCATGAATTCATTTGGTGCAAAACTGAATTTGACATGGTGCTAGAGGAGGGTATAAGGATGGATAACTCAGAACAGACAAACCATTAACATTCTTTAATTGTTCTTCATCTCATTTCTTCCAATGAATTTGTATTGTTATATTTCACATTAATGTACTTCAAAGATCTTCTACTGCCTATTTGCAGTTCATTTATCCCCACCTAAAATTAAAGCCTCACAGCTGGCTATTGCAAGTATGGCTAATGCAAGTATGGCTAATGCAATTCAAATGACATCTTAAAGGGGTCATATGATGTGATTTCAATTTTTCCTTTCTCTTT